GGGGACCACAGGGAAGTTCCAGTGCATGTAAATCTTTGTTCCACAGATGAACAGCAGATAGAAACATGGTCATATCTAAAAATGACAGATCACATCGAGACAGATGTAGGAAATCGAAGATCCCTACATCTCTTCAATGATTCCCAAACTTAGTTTTTACTCGGTCGAACCATCTAATGTATAAAGGTTTTTTGTGGGGAGGGCCCGTTCGATACACTTTTGAGACAGTATTCAGAAAATCAATTCGAACCTCGGATTGATGAATAAGAGCTTTACTCTCTGAAGAAAGGCTGAGGGAAGAAGAAAACGATCCGCCACAGTAGCGGATAGGACCACAAAACACATAATTTATACTATCAGCGACGTAAGGGATAAGTACCTGGGTTTCGGCAATCTTTTGTGAGACTTCTTCCATCAAAGGAACCAGAGCAAACTTCTTTCCGTTTATCTCTAGCAAAGTCGAAGTTACTGAGGAAAGCGGTGGGGTAGAGAAGTCGGAGGATTTGGAGGTCGCCATTACAGTTTGAGGAAGGATTGAAGATGAAGAGAAGGTGCAACTTAGGTTCGTGGTAAAAAACAAGGGTAAAAAACTGATAAGAGTATTTAAAGAGGCCGAGTTAGGGTATTTGAAACGACGAATGTGAGGGGGGTAATTAATACGTGACGTGCGCGTTGTGACCGTAGAGGTGATGTGATTTGATATTTGATATAAAGCAGAGAAACCCTAAAACCCCAGAAACCCTAAACCCTAAGAAGTTATTTCAAGCTTCAAAGAACGTTTAAAGGGCGGGAGTTATTTTTGAAAGAATATAAAATTGAGACAAATCTATATCCTTTCAAGGGGGCATTTGTTAGTGAAAAATCGATACAAAGATCGAAAAGCAGAAGAGAGAAAATCGAAGGTCACATAATTGGTTAAAAAGTTGATAAATCGGAAAGATGATTGGAAGACACCCGGTGACCACGAGATAATATAAATTGAGAATGGAAATCGAAAATCAGAAGATAGAAGAAATTCGATGAAAGTAAAAAATCGATCAAGGTTAAGGGAAATCATACTTGACAATTGGAATCGAGATCGAGGGAAACGGTTATCGTGCATATGGGAACGTGGAAGCGATTTCCTAAAACGTAAACTAAGATAAAAATCGAGGATCGTGCACATGGAACGTGGTGATAGTTTTTAAACTGCTCTCAGGAAGTTATATTGAAGGATGCCTATAAATAGAACGAAGCTTGAGGAAGAAGAGGAAATTGACAGAGACAACAGAAACACAAGTGAAAAGTCTACCGGAGAACGACGAATCATGAAGTTTCTGGCGATCTGGATTTCCATTTTCATTGATTGTCTGTATCGCTTTCTTTACTTTCCCTGGTAATTTATGTTCAGGCAATTTACTTTGATGCAGTTTACGTTCAGCAACTTTAAGTTTCTGCACTTTCAATTCCTTGTTATTTTACTTTTATGTAAGTTAAGATTCTGCGTTTAAGTTCTTCGCCATTTACATTTCTGCAATTTCGATTTCCTGCTATTTACATTTCTGCAATTTCGATTCCTTGCCATTTACACTGAATGCAAATTTGAGGTTTCCGCATTTTACATTTCTTTGCAATTTAATATTATGCACTGCTTTTCGATTCGACACTTTTACTGCTTTCTTTACTTCGCGTTTCTTAATAAAAAATACCAAAAATAGTACTTTCGATTGTAAATCTGCACACTAGGTTGTATTGTTTGCATTTTTCGAGACTATGAAATTTTCGATTCTCATACATGTTTCGATTGAAAACCGTTTGCTAGCCTAAGCAAAAAGAATCTACGTGGTTGAAAATTGGTTAGAACCCAAGTCTCTGATTTAATCGAAATCGATCAAATTTTCACCAGAAACAGTATGCATCGCCGCTTCAATATTTGTAGGAACATCAGAAGTGGATTGTCTATTTTGAGAGGCCATGTAAGTCTGTTGTGGGCGTGACCCAAGAACGTTGGGTTGTTGTTGTTGTCTCTATGGTGCTGGATCCCATGCCCACCCCTCGTTCGGATTTAGGCATGGAGGAGTCCATTGAGGCATCCAACCCCAAGGTGGGTAATTCAGCCAAGGTAAAGACCCCCTCTGTGGCTGCTATTGTGGACTCCCACCAAACTGTTGCGGACCACCAATGTCGCTCCCTGTACGACCAAATTTGCCACCATCAGACCCACGACCACCGCCACCAGATTTTTTTCCAGAATTTTTGCGATATCCAAACGGCTTCCCACGGTGCTGCTGATGGTGTAGTTGGTTTGAATGTGAGGAATTTGAGTCATAAATGGATTGGGAGGCAGCCACCGTTGCCGACTCTGATCCCGTGGCAGCCTCCTTTGCCAATCTGGCTTCCTCAAGTGTGAACATCGATCTAGCCTGATAAAACGGAGATAGGGGATTACTCTGTTGAATTAACGTCCCTACACCGTGATATGCACTTGTGAGACCCGAAACAAGTTGAATGAAGAAGCGACTTTCCGACACCGGTGCTCCAACATTTTTCAATTTATCAGCAAGGGACTTGATACGTTGACAATATGTAAAAGCATTCGGAAAATTTTCCATCTTAGTAGTGGAGAATTCGGCCTCAAGAGTTACCACACGAGAATGTTTATTGTCTTGAAAAATATCTCTCAACCTATTCCAAGCATCCATGACCGTGACATTGGGTTCAATAATTGTATGCAACATGTCATTGGAGATGGTTGCATAAAGTTAGGAAAGAACCTTAGCATCAACAGTCGACCATAATTCCTTTTTATCCTCAGTCACAAATACCTTTTCTTTGCCATTGACAAGAGGAATAATATGATGAAGAACCTTACGAGAAGGTGCAGTAATTTTAAAAAATTTCATCCATGTAGAATATTGGACATTCTTCATTTCAAGAGTGATGGAAATATAGTTCTGTATATTGAAAACTACAAGAACCGGATGAAAAGAACTTTTGTTGTCTATTATAACGGTAAAAAGAAGAAAAAAAAAGATAAACGAAGGAAAACGAAAAAGAAAAAGTGTAATTGTCCTAGAAATCGATACCATAAAAAAATATTTCTCTCAATTAATCATATTCACTCGACTTGAAATAAATATAATGTAAAAAAACTAATTAAGTAAAAATTTCATATTGTCTTAACTTTTTAAAAGGAAATTTTAAGTGTTTTTAAAATAATAATAATAATAATAATAATAATAATAATAATAATAATAATAATAATAATAATAATAATAGACACAAGATATGATTCTATACATACCAAACATGAATTGCAGCCGGTGAAGTTTAGATCTATGGCCTTTGTCAATCATAATGTTTTCATAAATAAATTTAATAATTAAGGGTCAAAATCCATGCAGTTTAAAAGGATCTGAATCCCATCAAGTCTTTTTTTGCAATTAAATGTTTCAAATTCAAGATACTTAAAGTACAATTACATTAAAAATCTTTTTCACTAGAAAAATAAATAGTTTGTTAGGAATATGCAAGATACCAAGTTGTATATGTACCAATGTCTGCACGGGATTTTTATATAAAAAAATATTAACAATAAATACTAATTTGTTATTAAAGTAAATATTAAATAATCAATTAAATATTATTATGTTTTAAGCTTTTTTTAATAAACGATGAAAAACATTTAAATAGACAAAACAATCTTAACATATTTAAATATGTTAAAAATACAAATAATTTATTAATTATTTTTAATATATAATAATTATTGAAGTATTTATCATAAAATAGTTAAGATTAAAAATATTCATTTGAATAAATTAATGTACTCAAGGGTTTATCTCATGTCACTTTTAAAATTAAGATTAAATATAGAGTTGACAAATTTATAATTAAATAAATAAAAATATTTTTCAATTAACGATAGAAATAATGTTTTTTAAATAAGTTGTAATAAAATTAAGATCTGAGGAGAAAAACAAAGTTAAATTTGAACTTAAGAATAAAAAGAAAAACAGGGAATGAATTTTTAAATAAAAATGATAAGAATTCTGCATTGAATATACATTTTTTTTTTCTCCATTTGTTCGGTAAGGGGATATATTTCTCTCTGATTTACTAATTTTTTCCGAATTTCCATTATTTCAATAATTCAAAATCGAGGAACGATTTAACGAAATTGTTGTATGTTGAGCAAATTTTTTTCATAATAACATAAAAATTTGCATAATTTATTTGGTATTCTTATAATTATTTGAAATCATTCTCAATACAATACTAACACTTCTAAAAACTTCAAAAATCAGAAAAATATGATTTTTCAATTTTTTGGCTTGTATTCAGACCTAAATTAACAAAAATTAGATATTAGGACTTAAAGTGTGAGTAAAAGGTTAATATCATTCATTCTAAAACATATTTAATTATCAATCTATAACAAAAGTTAATTAAATAATTAATTAATTTAATTAATCAATTAAATCAATTATATTAATTAGATCTTAATATCATTTAATATAACTCAATTGATTTTTAATTTGATTTTTAAACAAGATTTAAACTTAAATTAGAAAAGATAAAAATATCAAAATAAAAATAATAGATAGAAAACTTAATTCGACTTTTGTGAATATGTGAATTGATGCTTAAAAATTAATTTTCCATGAATAAAAAATACAAAAGCAATTCAGACAAAGAAAAAAAAATGTAGAAACTCGTCTTAAACTAAAAAAACTAAACAAATTATTTATGAATATTAATTTTGAACATATAGGCTATATAGAGTGTCAAAAGTAAACATGAGTCTAACAAGACATGTCTGAACCATTTTAATCGCAATAAAATAGTTCAGATGTCACACTCTTATTCTTCCCCACAAATTTATTGAAGTTACAAACATTACAAAGAAAAACATAAAGGTTGGGTTGTGGTAACACTCACAGCACAAAACAATCTGTCTTAATTCACAACATTACAGTGTGGAGTGATCAAATACAAAAAAATTGAGGGTGTTTCATTTACTACAAAACAAAGACAAAAGATAGGACAAAGTGAATAACAATGAAAAGATTACTCCAAAGCGAGCCTTGCAAAGTGCTCCTGGGCGCTTGTGAACCAGAACCACTAGATCCTCCTGAAGGACTCGGTGGCACTATTTGAACAAAATCAAAAACATTCAAGCATGTCATTAGCTGTAAGTAATGTCACAACATATATAGATAGATATATATCAAGCAATTTTCTCTCAGGATTTTGTTACAAACAAGAAATTCAAGGTCATTGTTAGCACTAACCAGCACAAATGTTCTGCGTTACAAGTTCCGCCGAGATATTGCGGAGTGTATAACCGGTATAGGCACAGATTGCGCGATTGCAGGAATCTGTAGAGGAAGTGGTGTTGCCAATGAAGACGTTGCTTGAGCATTGGGTAGAAGGACAAACGGACCAGTTAGTCGGTTTGTGTTGGGATGGCTGGCATTGTAACCTAAACAGATAAAACAAATTCATATTCAACATAACTAATGACATCACACGTATCTAATACCAACAAGGAACCCAAATTAAAGGTGTGCATAATAGTATTAACATAATATGTGAACAACAAATGGAGGCACTCACATGTAGTTGTTGCTGGAGTCACACTTGCATTTGACGCATTCATTGGCAGTATAGGCATAAGTAGAATTTGCAACAAGCAATGGATAGTCCAATGAATCATTTTTCACACTCGAGGAACAAGCTGCCACAACCAACAAGTTCAATCACTCTAACATATATACTAAGCGATTACACATAGCAAAACGTGCTCGGATAGGATTCTGAACTAAAAAGAATTCTAAATTCTCTTATATCATCCTTTTACTAACTATTTGTTTTACTTTGTAAATATTGATCTTTTTATATTCTTTTAAGATTAGAAGTCATAACTGTTTTTACCATGAAGGATATTTTACACGAATTAATACATGTGACTCTTTTGAAGAGCTGACCTTAGAAAATTATTCAACAAATCAATTATTCAGAAAAAAACAAATCTTTTGAATAGATTAATATTATGGACTTCTGTTGACTTGTTGGATCAGGGACATGACAACATATAAATAATGGACAGGAGGTGGCGTACACATATTTTCTTTCTGCGTAAAGTAGTGAGAACGTGTACTGAGATTTGAATTTATTAGTCTTTGTAAATAAATTATCCAATCTAATTATAAATACATGTACTCTATGATTAGACCAATCCTAATTGATTAACATAATCCAGAGAAACAATTTCATTTTTCTTACCTCTAACCCAGTTTAAACCAAAACAAGTAGATCGTTGTATAATAAATTGCTAAAAAATTGTTGTTCGCATAAAAAAATATATAAACATAAGAAAACATAGTAAAATATATTTAGCTCCTTCAAAATTTTAATCACTAAAATAAAAATTTTAAAAATAGGTTTAGGTTTTAAATAATAAATATAATTTTTTGTAAAAGGAATTAGAAGATTGAAAGTAGATTATTTTGAATTTCAGAAACTAAAATGGTAATTAATAAGAAAATCAAGTATACATTTGGATCAAAATTACTGAACCTCAATTAATATTACTCTCAAACCAACAAATCTTTCCCTTTTCAATTTACGCATCACAAATTTGCATTGAAATTGGAAATGAATCTTACCCTTATCAAATAATGTGTGCTTTTGTATATGATCGAATCGAAAGAGAAAGAAAGTGAATTGAGTTGAAAGTGATAGGAACCTTTGAGGGGAACATCAAGAATCTGACCGGCCTGAAGCGTTTTGGGGTCAGAAATTCCATTGATAGTGAGGAGGATTTGCTGGGTGGTTCCAAACTGCTCAGCAATACTCTCCACCGTGCTCTGCGGCGCCACCAAGTGCGCATAGTGCACCACTCTGCTTCCATCCACCTCATCGCAGCTACACGGTAAAGGAATATAAAGCGTGTCCCCAGCAGTGATGTTATTCGGGTCCGGTATATTATTCGCCACCTGGATCTGCTGCCACTTCATAAATCCCCCAAACGTCGTCGTCGCTATGTCGAACAGCGTGTCCCCTCTTTTTATCTTATAAAGCGGTACCCCGTCCGAGAGTCCCGTCTCGTTGCTGCACCTGCACGGGAACGGCACCTTCACAACCTTGCTGGGCCCCACCACGTGGTGCTTTGAGGTGTTGCTTGGGAGGTTGTTGGCGCCCAGGATGTCCACAAGTTGCTTCACGTTGAAGAGGGTTTGGATGTCGCCCAGGGTGGTGCCGTTCGCGTGAGAGTACCCTACGAGAGCACGACACGTGGCGTTATTCGCGCTGTTGCAGTTGAATTTGGCCTCCGGTTGGGCCTCTGATAAGCCCACACTCGCTACCACCGCGATTGCTACCACCACTATAACTTTGGGCATCCAAATAACCCCTTTCCCCGCACCCATTTTCTTCTAGTGTGGGTTAAGAAGGATGGTTAAGGAGACAGAGGGGGTTTTGGAAAATTTATAGAGAAGGTATGAACTGAATGATGAAACTATGACATCAATTATGGGGGTTGGGTCTTGGTTTCATACGTAAGATGGTTTGTATTCAACACTCGTGAGGTGTACGCAGAAAGTAATTCCAATAATAAATACAAACGATAAAATTTAAGGGTACCCTACGATATTAAGGCCAACGTATACAATAATTAGGAGGAAGCAATAGTCTTTCATTTTGAAACAACACACCGCAATGCAAATTTAGCTTGAAGTCTGGACTGATGTTTGGATGTAAATAAATAATATTACCTAATTTGATTCTAGCCAAATTAAATAAATATATAATCACCAAGACATGAATGAAATTAGCTTAAATAAATGTTTTTAAAATCTTATCACTAAACTAATGAAAACATGAGTTTGAGATTGAATCAAAATTTGTTTAATAAAATAATTTATTAATAATAATAATTTTATAAAAAAATTAATAATATAAATTTTATTATGATAATCATATATTATAATAACGATTATAAAAGTAATATATATATATAAAATAAGATAAATAATTATTAAAATAAAATAAAAATATAATAAAATAATTATTATTTAAAATTAAAATAATTAATATGTGATAAAAATATTTTAAAAAATATTATATTTTTACAAAAAAATTATATTTTTAATTTTTTAAATTCTTTTATTGATATGATTTAATCCAAATATTCAATCAATTTTATATAAATATTTTTAATTTTATATTAATTTAATTAAAATTCAATTAAAAATAATGAAATGATTTTTACAATGGTTTGGTTGGCCGGTTCAACCGGTTTTCAAAACACACTTAAACAGGGGATGGATCCTGGAAACTCCACAGCAATTGTCGTTACCTTGACTTTTCTTCTCTGTTCACACAGTACTGTTTTTGTGCGTGTAGTTAAAGTTAATTTACGCATTTAAAGGAACTAAAAAAGTACAAAATAATTTTATTTCATTTTTGACAAAATAATATTAAGACATAGTCAAATTCATGAAGCAGCCTCAAATTCATCTCTTAATTTGGTGACTTGCATATTGCATGAGGTTGACTGGGGTCGTAGCGATTTGTCCATTCTTTTGAGTGAGAATGAGAATTGAAGGACCTCTTGTGTTTGATTAGGAAGGGGTTTTACTACATTGTAAAGATCGTTTAAAAAAATTTATTAAAAATTAAAATGGATAATATAAAGGTGATAATTTTTTTAATTATAATGAGAATTGGAATACTCAATTTCTCTAGAAAGCATAGAAGGACGTGACTGGAGTTAATATTTTTATTTCGTGATATTTATTCTTTGATTTGACATTTATATAAAATCATTATTTATAAATTTATTGTTTGGTGATATCATTGCCCTGTCATTCCGATTAATCCCTGTATCGTGTGGTCAAACGAAATCAATAATATGAATGTCATTCTAAACATGTATACAGGGATGAAAAGCAAAATAAAATAAAGGATAATACTAAATTATTCTTGTTATTTTATAGAAATCAAAAGATAACTTAAATCTACGATAAACTAATAATGAAAAATATGAGCGGGACTTAACTTGATAAAAATAGAAAACAAATAATAAAATGATTTAATTTGAGAATTTGGGATAAAAAGTTATAAAACATACCCGAATAAAACGATGCTAAAGGCATGAGCTCTGTTATTATGATAGAAAATTGATGGAGAAGTTACAAATACTTTAGAAACATGACCATAAAAGGGTATAGACAAAATAAATGGAGTTTTTAACAATGAAGATTGAGACGAGGGAAGAACTCATGATAATAATTACTACAAAGTTATAGAGTGACCTAATCTAAAAATATTACAGACAAAGTTGAACTATTATCCTACAACGATTCAAATGAATTGATTTTACTGAGGATAGACAACGAATTAAGAAAAAATCCCTTTATAAAAAAGAAGAAGACTAACTTAGCACATTTGTCCCTAAGATTGACCTTAAGAGGAGGGTTACTCTTCCAAAACCGAGAATGAAAGGTTATGGGTTAGGGATAGGAATAAGAAAAAAGAAAAATTCAAACAAAATTATTCCATAGGAAAGGTTAGGGACATTTAGTGCTTCCAATATCTTGGTAGGGAGACTGTACTTTTGAGTGTCTTAACTAAAAAATTATGATTTTAAAAGATAAAAAAAATGTAAGCAAGGACAACTCCTAATCTTCACCATTAAAGATGATTATTCAAGAAGGAAAATTTTCCTTGTAAAGCACTACAAGAAAAATACCAAATAGTGACCGAAAATTCGGTCACTAAATGTGCAAAATCGGTTACTAATTAAAATAGTGACCGAAATAGTGACTGATTATATATAACCAAATTGGTCACTGAATCGGTCACTAAATCAATGAAAAAGTTAATCTATTTTGTTTATTTAAGTTTTTATTTATATTTATTTAGTTTAACTTATTATTAGGCGGTTTATTGTCATTGTCAGGATTTGAACCCGGTACCTTAGAGTTGGAGGCTGAAACTCCAACCACTGAGCTACTAGGATAGTTTAATAATAACTTACAAATAAATTATATTTATATACAAATAAATGTATATCCGTATAAATATATAAATATAAAATCTATAAATAAAAATATATTTATATATTTTAATATATATTTAAATATTGATATATTTAAATATTGATATATTTATATATTGATATATTTATATAGCATAATGTATATTAATATATGAGGGGATAATATTGATATATTGATATATTTGTATATATATATATATATATATATATATATATATATATTTATATATTGATATATTGATATATTAATATATTAATATATTTATATATTTATATTTTTATATTTTGATATATTTATATATTGATATATTTATATATTTATTTATATCCTTATACATTTATATCTTTATATATTTATATATTTGAAAAAAAAATATTAAATTTTAAAAATAATATTATATTTTTAAAAATAAATATTAGAAAAAGATTTAAAAATATAGATAAATTATATTTACATTTACAAAATATTAAAGATATATGTTTATATCTTTACATATTTATATATATTTATATGTTTATATTTTTACATATATTTATATCTTTCCATATTTATATATATTTATATATAAAGATATTAGTTTTGTATACAAATAATATTATAATATAGTATATTATACTATTAGTATAGTATACAAATAATATGTTAGTATAGTATAGTATACAAATTATTAATTTTGTAATTTATATACAATGAAAATAATATAATGGTATATTGGTATAGTATATTTGTATTCTAATTTTTAAATAAACTAAAATTACGCTAAATGTATAATAATATATGAGAGGATAATAAATTTAATCCAATTACTTTTATAAATATATAAATATAAAATCTATAAAATATTAAAAATGATATTATATTTTTAAAAACAAATATTAGAAAAAGGTTTAAAAACTAGTATTATCTTAAATTTATTAAAAGTATAATTAAATCTCTATTTTCTTAAAAAAAAATTTAAACTTCTCAATTCTACATTTTTGTAAATTCTATCATTATATTATCATGCTCATTATATCAAAATGTTAAATACTTTTAAATATTAAAATTAACTTTATCAAAAATTAGGAAAAAAAATTAATCCAAAAGAGTTCAAAAATATATTATAATATTGTCAATTTTGAGTTTAATTATATTGTTCATTCTCAAAGTAGAAAAATATATTGTAATTATTTTAATTTAATAAAATATAATTTAAAATTTTAATACTAAAATTAAAATATTAAATAATAATAAATTTAATTCTTTAAATTCAGTAGTTAGAAACTAAAATTATAGTTTCTCTGTTTTAAATAATTAAAATAAATATTTAAAAATAAAAATCAAAACTAGTATTATCTTAAATTTATTAAAAGTGTAATTAAATATCTATTTTCTTAATTTTATTTGTTTCAAACTTCTCAATTCTACATTTTTGTAAGTTCTATCATTATATTATCATCCTCATCTCCTCCCATGTTCTACTTTATCTTTACAATAGTCAATATTCTTAACTAATTTATATTTTTAATTATAATTTTTTAGTATATATTTCAGAAATTAATCAATTTTAATCTATTATTTGAAAAACTAATCAATTCTAATCAATAATTTAGAAAACTAATCGATTATAATTAATTATTTGAAAAAATTATCAAATATGATCGATCATTTTGAAAATATAATCGATCGAATCAGATTTAGCTTGAGCGAGAGTAGTCTCGCTCAAGCGAAATACACTCGAATATCGTATAAGTCTTAACCGCTATCTAATATACACTTTAGATAGCGGTTATAAGGAAACCGCTATTATATCCTCTCAATTATGATCGATCATTTCAAGTTATGATCGATCAGAATCGTATTTCGCTCGAGCGAGAGTAGTGTCGCTCAAGCGAAATACAACCTGAGAATGCCAATTTTGTGCAGGGGCGTTTACTTGGAGCGAGAATATTGTCGCTCAAGCGAAATACATTTTAGATAGCGGTTCCACAAGAACTGCTCTTAAAAGTGCACTTCTAATAGCGAGTTAACCATTAACCGCTATCTAAATTATACTTTAGATAGCGGTTAACGTGGAACCGCTATCATATCTTCTCAATTATATTCTTCTTTTCATCAATCATAATGAAAACTTACATTAACTATTTTTTTGAATATTATGTTTTTAAATTTGCTATTAGAGAAAACCTGTCAGAATTCAAAATGTTAAATACTTTTAAATATTAAAATTAACTTTATCAAAAATTAGGAAAAAAAAATTAATCCAAAAGAGTTCAAAAATGTATTATAATATTGTCAATTTTGAGTTTAATTATATTGTTCATTCTCAAAGCAAAAAAATATATTGTAACTAGTTTAATTTAATAAAATATAATTTAAATTTTTAA